CAGTGGTTTAGCGCCTGCCTTTGGCCCAAGGCATGATCCTGGAGACCCGGGATCCAGTCCCGCATCAGGCTCCCTGCATGGAGCCTGCTTTTTCCTCTGCCTGTGTCTCTGCCTCTCTCTCTCTCTATGTCTATCATGAACGAATAAATAAATAAATAAATAAATAAATAAATAAATAAATAATCAATCTTTAAGAAAAAAATTAGGACTGAGAGGTTAGGCATTTAAGACACCACATATTTATGTTTCCTTTCCTGTGAAATGCTGATTCATGTCCTGTGCCCATTTTCCTATCCTATTTTTATCCTTTTACTATTGGCTTGTGTTACATGGGGCTTGGGCGGGAAACTGCCCTCCTGGATACAGGATTGCTGGGGGCAGACATGAGGCTCCGACTGCTGGGCACTGACTCTGCTTTCTCCTGCGAGATTAACCGAGTCTGTTGATGTGATTTAAATTCAAAATCCAAGAAGTCTTGGTGTTTATAAGCATTGCCTTCAGAGGAAAGGTATAGATGGTTTAAGTTCTTCCAGATGTGTGTTACCAAGCCCCCATACAAAAGGCAGTGGTGTAGCCACAGTGTAGCTGGAATTGGCTACTGTCTCATCTCTGGGGTGATTGTACTTGCATGAAGAGGATCAGCAGCCACTATGCAGGCCAGTAGGCAGATCAGGGCTGATGCAAAAGCCACACCACAATTCTGATCCACAATTGCTCTGAGGAAATAATCTCATTTCCAGAAGGGTTTACAATCTTGACTAAATGAAAACTTGTAAGTTTGTGTGCATATACATTTGTGTGTGTGTGTGTGTGTAATTCTCAACAATCTGGAAACCACCTGAAATTTGCCAACGTTTAAGTCACGTATTGACTGAGGAAATTAAAAGTAGTCTTTTGTCTGTCCCAGGTATGGCAAATATTTTCCCCATTGGATATTTTTACACTGTTTGTTTAGGTTTTATTTTCTATTTGTTTTTATAGAAAATTTAACTATATAGAAAACTTATTTACCAATATAGAAAATGTAACTTTTATGTTCTCAAATTCATCAATCTTTTCTATTATGGTTTTCGACTTTCTATCACCCTTAGAAAGGTCTTCCATTCCAAGTTTATACAAATAACGCATCTGTCTTTTTTTCTGGAACTTTCATGATTTTAGATCTTTGGGTCATCTGGCAGTAACAGATTCTTTTCATACAAGGAATCATTATTCCTCCAGCCCTATTTTTAAAATAATCCAATAGTGCAACTGGTTTAATAGGCAGTCTTTATAACATTGTAAATTGTTGTATGTATGAACACACATAGACTCTCTTTTGCTCCTTTAATCTATTCCTACCTCAGAATTCTTTATGGTAACTCTAGAATAAATTTTGTTAATGGAGATTAAAAAATATTTTCAAATATATAAATGTCACCTCAAGTATATAAATAACCATGGTATCATTTAAGTGATGTTTATAATGGTTATTTTGGAACAAATTCACAAAATACTAACTATAATTCGATTTAAATTATTTAAAATAAAATTGCAAATAACTTGAGGTGAATGCTGTAGTGGATAGGCAGTTGGATAGACCACCCTTTTCAACCACTCCTGAAGTCATTTTTATGCACAGTAAACTTCAAGGACCACTGGAATAATATTTCCTAGGGTAATATTTCTAATTCTAAACATCTTTAACAAAGAACAGTTCAAATAGATACCTGTCTTTTGAATGATACACAGAATTCCTCAAGAACAATTAAAACCACAACCAAATAAATTTATCAAGAAGAAATCATTTTAAACAAGTTTCTATACAAAATAAGCAATGAACAATAGGCAGCACAACATGTTCATTTTAAAACAGGAGACACTGAGAAGATACAAGATCAAAATGAAAGTGATAAATAAAAAGAACATAAAAGACGAGGATCCCTCCAGGGAAAAGTCTGATATACACACAAAAATCCCTAAGGCATATGTAGTGTAGGCTGCAATGCTAAGGGAAAAACTTTACTAATTAACTCCAAATCCACTGTCACATAAAGAGAAAAAGAATACACTGGAAATCTGTCTTTGGATGGTAAACTTTGGCACAAGGGAAATTAACTGTTAGATTCAAGGGGAAATACTTCATCTCACTATTTTAAATTGTGCTTAGTCCTTGGTCATACTTCCTGTGGATGGTAAATCATCTCCACACCCTGGATGCTTTCTTCTCTACTTTGAGAGGCAACTCCAATTCTATTTCTCTCCCCAAACCTTCCCTGTAGACTTCTAAAAGGATGTGGACCTCCAACTCCTGGCCAGACTCTGAGCAGAGAAGGATGAAGGGAGCTGGTTAGGGGTCTCTTCCCTGTCCCAGACACAGCAACACTGATGATATCAGAGGCCTGGCAGGAATTCTTCCAACCAGCAACCACACACCAAAGATTCCGTAGATTTCTAGCTCTTTCTGCCAACACTTCCTGCCTGAGAAGAAGGGCAGAAGATGGAGCTGAAAGGTCAGAGAGTTCTGATCGTATTGAGGTAGTCACTGCTCCTCATGAATACCACTGCTCTCAAAAATCAATTCTATTTCTTAAGCTTCTTGGTCAAAATTTTGTTCATGTTCAGGTTAGGTTCATACAAGTACAGATACAGAGATTTGAATACAGTATTTTATTTTTATTGAATGATCAAAGCCTTCTACTTATGTGTTTATCAAAATTATATTTCAAAAGGGGAAACAGTATTTCTAGACAATTTAAAAATAAAGTTTGTTTTTCACTTTAAAAGTAATGCATGTTCATGACAGAAAATCAGGAAAATACAGAAAGTATGAAAAAGAAAATAAAAGTCATTCACATACTATTACCCAAATATAGCAACTATTAATATCTTCCACCCTCTTCCTAACAAAAGAATTTTAGAATATTGTACCTAAAATTTCAAGAATTTAAGAGAGAACAGAGATGCTTCTTGTCAGTGTTGTACTGGAAGTCCTAAACAGTAAGATTTTTGTATTAAGTGGCAAAATAATTGAGACAAAGAGATGAAGCTGTTTGCAGATGATGACTATTTTATTTACTTAGAAAATCTAAGAGCATTTATGGATAGGATATTAAAACTTCAAAAGAGTATTGGGTCTATTTCCTTTTTTTAAAAGATTTTATTTATTTATTCATGGGAGACACAGAGAGAGAGGCAGAGACATAGACAGAGGGAGAAGCAGGCTCCCTGTGGGGAGCCCAAGGTGGGACTCGATCCCAGGACCCTGGGATCATGATATGAGCCAAAGGTAGATGCTCAACCACTGAGCTACCCAGGTGCCTCCGACCTATTTCCTTTTTAAGATTTTTAAAATTTATTTGAGAGAGAGAGCATTAATAGGGGAGAGGGGCAAAGAAAGAGGAACAAGCAGACTCCCTGGTGAGCAGGAAACCCAACATGAGGCTCAATCCCAGGACCCTGAGATCATGATCTGAGCCAAAGGCAGATGCTTACCCAACTGAGCCACCCAGGCACCCCAATATTAGTCCTGTTTTCTAGTATCAAACAAACTTTAAAAAATCAGTGTATTCTTACTTACCAGAAATAGAAAATACAAAAGAAAAAAAGGATTCTACCCATCGTTATACCTAGGGATGGGATCTATCCAGGAAAGAATGTAACAGGCCTGAAACTACTATTCTTAGAAAGGCCTGCTTGTAAGGTTGGTCCCTGGCTGGCATCTGAGAACTTGGTGGGTTCCCTATATTGATATAAAACTTCCCTCAAATGGTAAAAGGGGCTCACACATCTAAACTATTTGAACAGTGTGGTGCATAAACCTGATGTGGTGCATGAATACCTGCTTTATGTCTTGGAGTCTGGGATTTGGGTACATGGTAGACAGAAGGTGCCCATATGACCAACCCTTAGTAATCACCTTGTGTACCAAGTCTCTCATGAGCTTCCCTGATAGACATTATGATAGTCACAGAGAGAGAGAGAGAGGCAGAGACACAGGCAGAGGGAGAAGCAGGCTCCATGCACCGGGAGCCCAATGTGGGATTCGATCCCAGGTCTCCAGGATCGCGCCCTGGGCCAAAGGCAGGCGCCAAACCGCTGCGCCACCCAGGGATCCCTGAATCACTGAAACTCAAGGTGGTTTGGGGGACCCCCAATACAACATCTTTATGGAGATAATTACAAAATATTCATTGATGAACAAAAGAAGACCTAAAAACATGGAGAATTTTATCATGATGGAGAGTGGGAGGAAAAGCAGCCCACCTACCCCCATCATTCATATATTCAATGCAATTCCAATCAATACGCCTGGAGGAGTTGTTCTGATTTTTAATGGTTCTTGATAAGTCAATCCTAAAATCAATATGGAACAGCAAAGGGCCAAAAACAACCAGCTGTGAGGAAGAGTAGGTGGTAGAATTTGTCCAACTTGAGATCAGGAATTACTGTAAAGCTATAGTAAATAGGCAGTGGGAAGGATATCTCAGTGGGGCTTTCCATGGAATTTGACAACATGACTCTAAAATTTGTAAGAATAAGCAAAAGTCCAAAACAGACAAAACATTCCTGATAAAGAATGATACCAAATAGTATTTGAGGCTGCAATAATTAAGATAGCATTATATTGGTACAATGATAGACAAACAGACCAATAGAACAGAAAGCCCCCAAAACATATCTACCCTCTATAGAAAAAAAAGTTGATATTTGACATTACAGATCTTGGGAGAAGGATCAACAGATGTGCTGGACAAATAGCTATCTATAGTGGGAAACTCATTTAAATCCCTATCTCCTACCACACCCCTTACTCTTCTGTATGTTTGAAATACATCATAATAAAAACTTAGTTTGACTAAATACGTACACTAAAATCTCTACTCTGTTAGTAAGCCACAGGCCAGTAATCATAATTTTACAAATTGTTCTCCTTGCTAGGATCTCAAGGACCTAAGAGCTTACTTAAGTAGCAAATAAACTCAATTTCACATCAACTTTTTGAATAATATGAGCCTTACCTCATAGATCCTGGCAATTCCACAAAGTAGGGTTACTTCTCCTGGAAACTTATCTAAGCCTTGTTTGAAAAGAGTTAAAGCCGTCACTGGTTGATCCAATGAGATATAAACCTAAAACCAAGTTACATTTCAATAAAAGTACCAGTTCTTAAAATAATAGTATTTGCTGTGATAAGTTGATAAATATTGCTTAGCAACAGGTTATCTCCTAGATATTATGGTAAAAAGTTTTCAGAAATGTGTATTAATTTTCAATAGTGATGTTATAGTTTTATCTTCACATGTCATATATGAAGCATCCATTCATTTATTCCTTCAACAAACACTCCTTGGGGGCTTGTGATTGCCAGAGACTGAGCAGTAAGTTAGTAAGAAAGGAACGAGGGAAAACCTTTTAGGATAGGACAGACAGGACTATGTCCATAAGCAGGCACAGAGGAACTAGTTATGAGATCAAAGTTGAAGATGCAGGAGAAAAAGGAACAAGAAGGTCTGAGAAAGGCAGCAGTGGAGAGCCTATGCAGAAGCTGGTTTTGGAAAAGGGCCCTCAGAAATAGAGGAGGAACAGATTTGTGAGGAATAGGGTTGGGGATGAGAGAGTTTGCACTTGATGGCTTCCACCTAACTAGCAATTAGAACATTAGCGTAGCTAAGTCATACACTTCATAGGAACTTCTAAAACAGGGAATTATAGTTGTAGGCATGGAAACATAAGATTATGACACTTTTTTCTCCATGACCTTGGATCCTCTATTTCCTTCAAAATAGACTGGAAGAAGGCCCAAATGGATACACAAAAAAACCTGTAAATAGTGTTTAATGCTAAAGTAATAAAATATTTAATATTTTTAATTAACGATCTAATATTTTCAGAAATATGGTTCCTAAATCAGAATGATCTCTATTGTGTAGCAATTATTAAAGAAAATAAGTAAATTTTACTTTTATACAGTTGTGTAGGCAATAATAAGATATAAGCAAATCAATTTACGGAAAAATACATCAAAATATGTATTCAACAATAGTTGAATATAAAGCACATTTTTTAATCACCTGGCAAGTGATTATCAGTGAAAAAGATGACAAATAGTGTGACCTATGTTTTAATTTCAAGGTGTTAGAAAAGCTTAAAAGTCTACTGTGATGCTTAGAAACTTCTTTAAGAATTTAAGGTTTAACATATAACATACAGAAGGTGGACTTAGTTTCAAACATCTCTGAAAACTACAGTAAATAGATCACAATTATTTAGCACTGTAGGTTTATATAGTGTAACTTTCATTTTGTTTCTTTTCAGTATGCAAATTCTTAAAACCATATTTAGGGAGTAGTGGCACTTCCTTTTATATAGCTCTTCTTTTCAACCTCCTTTAGCACACTTTTTAATTTTAAAAAATTCATCAAGATACAGCAAGATGATGTCCTACCCACCACTTCATCAAATGTTTCAAGTAGCCCTGGTCAGGGCCAAGAAGTAACTTTTTCCCAGGACTGAATTCTGATGGCCCTTGATGTCTGCTGTCGCTGTGGGAGGCAGTACGGGGCAGTGAGGAGGAAGACTTGCATTTGAGTACTGGATCGAAACAGCCAAGTGACGTTGAAAAACCTATTTACCCTCTTTAAGTCTCCACTATTATAAGGGTACAAAGGAAATTCTAAACTCTACCTTTGTGGGGTTTCTATGAGGCTTAAATTAACCTGTGGGTGGAAGAGACTGGATATAATACCTGCTACTGAATAGGTGTTCAATAAGGGGGAAATATCATCTTTGTTGTTATGGCAGAGCCAAGAAACCAACATCCTGCATAAAAACAATTCCAATTCTCTATAGCTACTTAGGTGGGAGACAGGCATGTTGTAGAAAAAAGGGCTTCTCTGGGGTCTGTTAGCCATGGGGGCTGTAGTGAGCCTGTGGCAGTTTCTTCTGCTCTAATGGGCAATCTTTCAAAGGGGTTTTCTTATTTTTCATGGCAATCAGTTTCTCCTGAGACAGTTACCCTCCATATGTTCTCACTTTTCCACTCGCTATAAAGAAAAATAAGCCTGAGCACATTTACTTGCCAAATATTCCTGAAGAAACTGGCAACTCTCCGTGTATATTGGCCAGAATTTGAACATTTATTTTGAGAAGACAGATTTCACTCCAGTTAAGAATACTTACTTACTTTTGCCAAGTAGAGAAATGTATCTACCATTTCCTGCTGCTTGAGGGCTGATTTAAACTGTTTTTCTGCTTCACGATACATTCCTAACCTAAGAACAGCCATTTTAAAAATTAGACATTCAACTTAAAAATAAATACTACAGCACTTATTCACACACTGACAATATGAATAGAGATAAATCACATTTCTAAGAGTAAACGTCTAAAGAAGGTAATGTCATACACACATATAAATTATTATCCGCATATAAATTATTATGTTTATATAGTTGAGCAAAAAGTTACCTATTTCCCGTAGTCACTGTCTATGTAACCCTCCAATGGTGTGTAAAAAGTCGTGTGAAGTCTAGACACTGCGGAACCAACAGCTGCCAGTGAGCCAAGGCAGCTCCATTTACCAACCAAAGAGCTTATAATCAGCTGGACATGTGGCAGGTGACCTGAGTAAATGCTTAGGGTCTCCATTTTATTGGAAGAACTCAAGGATGTCATTTCTTTGAAAACATTGTCTATTCTGACACAAAGGCCCACTTTTAAAACCCTTCTTAAATAGTCTTGATGTAAGTAGTAATTGCTACTTGAGTGACATAGCTCTACTATTTTATGATTCTAGGAACATTTTCTTTTCCTTTATCTTTGTATCTGATACAGATTGCCCTGGTCTACAAATTTGAGATTTGTTCCTTGCCTAACTATAACTGTCCTGATATCAACCCCACTTCTTCTAACCAGGGAACATTTTATTATCAGCCTGTTCTAGATTTGTCAAGTCTTCTCCTAACTACCCATCCCTAGCCAGCCAAGAGCTGCTTAGGCACTTTATGATGCTTTCATTTTGTGAAAACTGGAACAATACACAGTATGTTTCATTGTGCTGCTTTCATTCAGAGTCTTGACAGAAGAACTCTGACCTTCTACTTGGCTTGTCTAAGCCTCAAGCACTGGTGTGGCTACATCCAAATAGCTGCTAGAAGATGTGGGATTAATGGAGTTAAAAGGAAACCCCCCAAAAACTGCCCCAAAGTTAGAGAATGTGCAGAATGGCAGAAGCCTCCCACCTCTTCAAAGCTCCCACAACTTTTACAGGAGTATTCACAAAATGTTACCAAAGAACTCTCAAGTTCTGGAAAACAGCATAGTTCTACACAGAGCTTCAACTGCGCAAACCTTAGGCATGTGGCTAAAGTTCAGCCATACTGAATTATCCATGAGTCTGTATATTTTTACCTAATATGATGTCTCCTCCCAAAAATAGTTTAAAAGTGATTACACTATAACCCTGTAAGATACATATAAAGAATATGAAAACAGAAATCGATTTTTTAAACAGAATGATGGAAAGATAAACAATTTTTTTAAAAGCAATCTAAATAAATAAATAAATAAATAAATAAATAAATAAAGCAATCAGCCATTTAACTACCCTGGAAACCAAAGAAAGGAAGATTGGGTCATACACTTTTTTTTTAATTACTGCATCCTCAAGAGATAACTTCTTCTAGTACTATCAAAGAGGAATAACCACATGCGTTCTTATGCAAAGGAAATTAAGTGGGTCATGTCTAAAGAAAGTCTAGGAATGAGGAAAATATCAGTCAAGTTCACGAACAGGCTAATATCAGAAAGTCGAAGTCCCAAGATAACCCCACCACCTGCCAACTTTTTCTCTCCAATTCAATAGTTGTCAAATGCCAATTGCACACACATTTCATGATCCAAAGATGAAGATCACAACCATGTCCTAAAGGCAGCAATAAGAATGGAATAAAACATGTTCACAAATAAATGGAATCGTATGTTGGCCAATAAGAAAAAAACAGGTGCTCCAAGAGCACAGAGGTGGAATGAACCTAAATAGTATCTAGGAGGAAGTGACAGGCAAGGTTTTGACAGCTAGATAGGGTGAGGTAGGGATGGGGGAGCATCTCAGATGGAAGCAAACTGTCAGTGCGAGCACACAGAGAACAGAGTGTACAGCCCAGGAGGGGGATGCTGAGTTGTTTGGTTTAACTGGAAGGGAGGACACCACAAGTAATGGGAGAAGGGAGTAAGGGAGCAAGTGTGGCCTGGGACAGGATCAGACATGCCACTCTCAAAATCCAGACTTCATCCTAGAGGTCGTGGAGATTAACCAAGGAGTCCACCCAGAGCTGTTTCTGTCACAACAGTTACTCTGCCGCTAGCATAAGAAGAAGGATGGAGGGGGCAAGAAATGGGGGCAGAGAAGCCAGATAAGAAGCTAGTAGAACAGTTCAAACAAACAGAAAGTCAGAATTCAGGCACTGGAGCAGGAATGGGGCCATAAGGGAGCTGTAGACAAAGAACTAGAAGAATGTACTGGTCGGGGTCAAAGAGACACACATCAGCTGGGGCTACACCCTCTGGTAGCCCAGCCTGGACCTGTTGGGTCGCATTAGGAGCTTCCCCTCGGCTCTCTCTGCTTGCTTCTCTCACTGTAGAAGCCGTGCTTCTCATCATTTACTGTCCTCTCCCCCACTGGCCTGTAAACCATCTGAAGGAAGGACTACCTAATAAATACCTGTAACCCCTGTGCCGGACTCGTTAAATACCCTAGCAAGTCAGTGACTGCAGGAGTGCTGAGCCCATGCTAAAGACGAGAGGCAATTAAGGGTCAGAGGAGAAGGCTGATTAACCTGGCAAGGTGCACTTATTTAAATGCCATTTCATACAAATGGCAGAAGGAATCCAAATTGTGCTTCTCTTTAATTGTTAAAGATATCTTAGGGTTTTGTTTAGAAGCTCAAGATTTCAAGCTTGCTTTCGGAAATTATATTCATAAAAGTTTAATGGCATGATGCTATGAAATTACCTTTTAGTAGAAAATACTTCCTCAGTCTAATAGCAGAAAAAACACTTAAGTTCTTGTAAAATATCTAAGTGGAAAGCAGTCTTGATTTCAACCAAAAAAGAATAAGCATCCTTTTTATTCCATTTACAGATTTCTTTTTCCTTAGAGTAAAGGAAAGTTCTTAAGTACTGAAGGATGCTCCCAGTAACCGGTCTACCTTGTTTTGAATACTAAAAGATGTATTTATATTTATAAAATACAATTGCCCGTTTGTCTCTATTTTACAAATGCTCCAAATGCATTTCAATATCAGGCAACAAGTTTTTTTGTTTTGTTTTTAGGCAACAAGTTTTAGATCTCATTTCTAGTTGCTGTGTAATATTCACATAATTAATTACAACTTTCCTGACCTCTCAATTAATTTGCTTGAAAATGTGTTTAGGGGGCACCTGGGTGGCTCAATCAGTTAAGCGTCTAACTCTTGATTTCAGCTCAGGTTGTGATCATGGGATTGAGCCCAGTGTAGGGCTCCACACTCAGCAGGGAGTCTGTTTGAAGATTCTTACCCTCTGCCCCATGTGCTCTCTCCTTCTCTCTAAGGAAAAAAATGTGTTTAAACATTAGGTAAATTAATGTAAGAATATTCAGATCCTAGAGAAACACTACAGAATTGTGCAAGTAGTAAGAGTACTGATATCAGAAAGCTGAGCTCAAATTCTCATTCTGCCACTGACAGGCTGTGTGAATTTGGACAAGTCACTTTATCTTTCTGAGGCTCAGTTTTTTTCATCTGGACTAAGAGCTAACAATAATAGTAACTACCTCCAGGTGTGGTGAGATTTAAGTGAGATCATGTCACATATGAACAAGTTAGCCCTCAATCGTGAAGCACTTTACAAATGTGAGACATCAGGGGACACAAAAAGACTTGAGAGCAAGAGAAGAGGAACAAGCAACAACGAACTCAATTCTAACAAGCCTGTTACTAACTAGTATTTTACTAACTAGTTCTTGGCGCAAATCATGGGCTCTCTCTGGCCTCAGCTTCCTCATCCAAAAAGAGATGTTGGATCTGAAGGTGCAGAGTTTCCCCTGCCCAGCATTACAGTTTTATTATTATTTATTATCAGTTCTTACTGCTACCACGTTAAATGCTCTCTCAACAAAAACACACTTTTCATTTCTTCCTGAGGAAGTTCCACCCAGAAAAATAATGATCAGAGTTGAGACTCTAAAATATGCCGCCATGTCTAAGCCCTTCACAAATAATCAAAATTTTACCTGTAGTAACATTTTCCAATCTGTACTTTCCACCACCAGTCCTTGTACTGAGAGTGCTCTGTGGAAAGGGCAGCCAAGTCCAAAGCCTTTGAAAACAATTCATTTTGGATTAGGATTTTCTTTTCGAACAATGAACAGAAACAATAAATAATGAGATAAACCATATAATTAGTATTGATCAAAACATGCATTAGAAATCAGACAGAAACTCAAGTGGCTCATGTTTCCAGATGGCTCCACCAATTTTCCCTAAATAATCGGTTCCAGACCAGAGGGTTGACAGCAGATGAATGTAAAAACTGATCAAAGGAAAGCAGATGTACAACATATTAGAATACAATTTTAATATACACTACATAAAATGGTTATTTAAAAAATCCCCTAAGTTGTACGCTCTCCCCACCCTTTATCTACCATCCAATGATTCAAAGCACCTCTAAACTCAGTGGCAGTCAAGCCTTTGGTGTGTCAGCCAGGTCCAAATGCAAGGTCCCACTTTAAGATAGATGTAGAGAAATAGAGAAAGACCAAGTAAGCAGACCAGAAAGACCAAGTTTGTCTGGCAAACAGGATCATGAAGAAGAGTCAAAGGACCAAGGACCCTTGGATATCTGTCGTCTTCAACCACCACTGTTCCATCATTCTGACCCCAGTTCAAATCCAGTGATGCTGAGGGTCAGATTCCTTTGCTGCAGAATGAACAAGATTTTCTGAGTTGCTTTCTTTTATTTTTATTTTTATTTTTTATTTTTTTCTGAGTTGCTTTCATGTTTTACACGTGTTTATCCCTTTCTCTCTAATGTCTTCTAGTTTGTTCCTTCTAATGTTTATTCAAGATCAGATAAGAGGTGACTAAATAGGAATTAGGATTTTATAAAGAAGAAGTAGAAACTATTTGGACAAAAAGGAAAGCAAATTAATCTTTACACACATTTGAAGCTCAGGTGAAGATCCAGTGAATAAAAACTCAGGTTATTAATTAAAAGAGAATTCTCATTGTTTTATTATACTTATTATTTTCTCTCAAGGTTGGAAAACTCTTATTCTTTTAGTCAGTGTTAGTATAATCATGATATCCAACAGTTAAAGTTACTTTCAGATTTCAGTTCTATGAGCTCAGAGTATATCCCATATTACTGTCCATGTGTTAAAATGAACTCTTTCTTGAAATGCAAGCCAGATGAGTCCCTTCCCTCCTACCACAAAATTAATAGCTTTCCTTGTGTTTCCCCATCTTATCTTGCTCCAGGGGAAACTTCTAAATATGCAAACCCTTTATAAAGGAATGGTGTCACCATACTGAGGTTATAATGGACCTGAAAAATCAACACCTCTATTTGAAAGCTATGGGAATTAAGAACAAGCCACACACTACTTTCATATGCTTATTGTCCTTTTCCCCCCAAAACCAGAAATAAAAGTGAAGCAAAAAATGCAGGGGGAAAGTTTAACTTTAATTAGCATTATCTCTAAAAATAGTTTGAAAAACATATTTTCAATCAGCTCAATTCAGGACTGAATTGTAAATATCTGAACATATTAATTTTAACTTAATTTTTAAAAAGAACTTTTCCAGCAGATCATACTCAGTCTCATGTTTAACATAACAGATCTTCTAGTTTTTCAGAAAAATACGTCACTCTAAATTTGTCACATATTCTGATTTCCCACGGTTAGATTTAGCACTTATTACAGGCTGCTGACTTTGCTTATGGTCCTAAAACAAGTCTTCCTACGTAAGACCTCTATGTCTGTGCTGAGCCGATTAAGGAAATATAGAATAAAAATGATTAAAAAATACATTTTAGTGATCACTCATCATATGAACACTGAGGCTGTACTAGACAAAACTGTGACTATTTTAAGTGGGCCTTAGGTTCCCTGAGGACAGGCACCCCTTCTTACCCACCTCTGTTGTTCTTAATACGTTTCCATGCTGTTAAGAGGCACTCAAGAGGGCTGCCCCTGGTGGCTCAGCGGCTTAGTGCTGTTATCAGCCCAGGGCGTGATCCTGGAGACTTGGGATGGAGTCCCATGTCGGGCTCCCTGCATGGAGCCTGCTTCTTCCTTTGCCTATGTCTCTGTCTCTCTGTCTCTTTCTGTGTCTCTCATGAATAAATAAATAAAATCTTAAAAAAAGGGGGGGGGCACTCAAGAATGATGTGTGTTTTGAATTAATTCTATTCCTTATTTCTGACTTCTATTGAAATTAAGAGCCAAACAAAACTGTCAGAGTAATAAGATTCATAATTAAAAGCTATTAACTTTTTAAAATATTAAAATAATGACAGATCTATATTTCTTTCAAGTCTTTACCAATTTTTAAAAATAAATTACTACATATTTAAGAATCTTTGAATAATTTAATCAATGTAATATCTAGATATTAATAAAGGCCTAGAATGTCACATAAAAGCCATAAGTTCATAAAAGTCCATAAGGAGAAGGGATCTTGGCAGATCTAGACTACCAAGTATTGTTTGTGAATATGCCCAACTGAGCATCCCAGTGTATTTTTAAGGAACAGTGCTCCAACCACTAATATTCTTAATGAACCAGCCATCTTTTAGTTATTGTTATGGTTGCAACAACTTCAGGATGATGAAATTAAAGAGCATACGTAAATGAAGATAGAATCAACCCACATGCCACTTTAGTTTTGCCAGTACTGTCAATATCACCCCAAAAGATACAAGGGAGGGAAGGGAGTTAAAAAGAACTCAAAGGCAGAAATATAGTTTTCCATAAATCAACTTTACTTTTTCCTATCACTTAACTATCACTTCATAATATTCTCTTTAGTTGCCTACAGTATCCTCCATAATTGTACACAAATACAGAATCACCAACCCACATGGCACTTAGTTTTGTCAATATTGCCCACAAAACAAATGGAAAAAGTATTAAGAATGGAAAGACAGAAGTAAAGTTTTCCACAGAAAATCAACTTCATTCTTTCTTAACATTTAAGTACAACTTCACAGTATCCTCCCTATTTGTCTATAATATTCTCTGTATCTGTGTGAAATAGTTCGTTTAAAAAGAAATTTGGAGGCTACCCAAAGTAACTAATATAAAAGCACCTCTGATTTCCTCAGCATGTTAAAAAAACAATTCCTCTTTTCTTTTTCTAGCTAATGTTGTAAAACATAGTTTGGAAAAAAGATATAAAAATGCATGCTTTCTGCTCATTACCTAAATCCTTCTTCCATTCAGAAAATAACATTTGTGGTAAAAATCTGAAATGACATCTTAATGGAACAAGCTGATCCATAAAAGAACTATAATGCAATGAGCCCATAACAGAGTAAGGAAACAGACATAGGGCATGTGTCCTACTCAATACTGCTCACATCCATCACAGCACCAAAACACATGTACTCAATAATAACTTGTTTAAAGAATAACCCAATCAAGTAATAAACCAATCAATAAATTAATGAATAAGAGGAAAACAGAGGAACAATTTGTGCTTTTCACTAAATAAAAACAAAAACTGCTTAATTTCATGTTCTATAAAATACATGTATTGAGGGTAAGCAGGTGAAAATAACAAGCAGCATGCAATTACAAGGATTTTAATTTATTACTGCCCCTAATTTCTAAATTTAGAAAGTTGCTATAACATTACTGAAAACTGGATAATTTCCATTAGTGCTATGAAGTATAGCTTTTTTTATTTACTGTTATAATGTAAGCTATTGGCACCATGTAGGCATTTTAACAAATATTTGTGGAATTAATATACATTAACCCTGCAATACTTTTATTTCCATTTTTGGGTAATATTTTCTATATGTTACAAATATATATGTTTAGAGTGATAATTCTATTTAATGTGTGGGCTAAATGGTATACTTTGTTGGCTTAACACTATAAACACTTTATATAAGTATATATAAAAATATGTGTATTCTGTTTGTCTAGTTTTCATAATTATGGTTTTTAAAGGCTGCATAAAACCCCAGCATGCAGTGTATTATAATTTACTAAACTTGTCTTCTATCATTGAACATACAGGTTACTGTCCAGGTTGCTTTGCTACTACAACTAATGCTATGATGAACATCTTTGCAAGTGCATCTGAGCACTTTGTGAAATTTCTTGAGAAGGGAAATTATAGAAACAAATGGAATAAATGTTTATAGCAATCTGTTTTATATTATCTTTTCCAAATTATTATACCACTTAAAATATCATCTATGTCAGTATAACAATTACTCTACTCCCTTCCAGCATTTTTTTCCAAATTTCATAAATGTAAAACTGCAAGTCCAAAATTTCCTTAACTTACATTTTTATGTTAGAAAGTGCATCTCTAATGTGCTTGTTTACTGGCATTTTCTCTAATGTAAATTTTCTGTTGCCGGATCATTTCCATTTCCATAAAACATTTCCTAACAAATTCAGATAAGCTTTTTCCTATTTAACAAACACTAACATTTTAAAATCATGCTTATGTACATATTTCACCCTCTGTTGTCCTTTTACTTTTCGTTTCGCTTCTGTTCACTGTGCAGAGATATATATGAATTAGTAAGCTTTTTTCCTTTGTGATTGCTTCATAAATTTTTGTTTGCTAGTTTGAATTTTTTAAAAATTCATCACTCATCAAATATCTAAAAGTCTTTAGAAAAATTTTCTCAACAGTGTTGTTTAATGAAGTATAAGCATCTGTTTTAAAGAGTCAAAAACTGTGCTCAATGTTGTCTTTCACGGTTCCTAAGAATAAAAATATAAAATGGATACTGCAGACTTTAGCTTTCAAATGGTATTGTTATAACATTGCCTTGCTACTGAGATCTATTTGCCAGTCCCTTTTGCTGGGCCTTTTCTCTTAATTTGTGGGCTTCTTTCATGGAACCAGGAGACACATTCCCCCTTATTTATTACATATGGAGCTCTGGCCCTCGAGTCCTGTTCATGCTCCCAGCTCTATTTTCCTACATTAGAGGGCCCAGCATTCCAGCCTTCTATTAATCATTGCCTTTCAAACTATGTTCTTTAGCAGCAATTCCCAATCCTGGCTAAAAATTAGCATTGCCTGTGCAACTTTTTATTAACAACAGATTTACCAGACATACCCATGGGGATTCTGATTCAGGAATCTAGCATGGATCCAGAAATCCATCACATTAAAATTCACCAGGTGATGCAGAAACAGTAGGATTTAGGAACCACTCAAGAGCCCTAGGCTTTGAGGGGTGGGAGCTCACGTGGTGGAGTAAGAAGGAGGCCCAGTGAATGTGTTCTTGGTCTGCTACTTCTGCTTGAATTCAAGCAGCTCTGCTTTTGTCTGTTTTATACAGCAGAGTCTGGATGAGATTTCATTTGAAGAGAAAGGTTGTGCTGCTTAAGGAAAAAATGTGAAAATCACTGCTCTATTTCAGATTTTCAAACTTTTGAGATTTTAAGATGTTCACATTTTTTTACACATTTTTTTGAATCAATAAATATGAAGAACTGTGAAAGCATTCTAAAATACATAATATATAAAGGTTAATTCTGTTAGACTCTTTAGAGTCTTTAGAATCCTAAGAACCTTTAGAACATAAGTTCAGTTAGTGCAGAGAATAAATCCTATTTTATTTCAATATGGTTCCTATTCGTCAATGCCATTATTCCAATGCCAAATGTAGAGTGACATCCTCAAGATGAATCTCTTAATGAAGACATTATCACCATGATCTACAAAGAGTATACAATCTGTCTACTTTCTGAATCCATTGTCTACAACTCCTCCCCTCATGGACCTCACTCCAGCCACCCTGGCCCCCTTACTACTCCTTGAACAATTCAAGCGTGCTTCCACTTGGGGCCTTTGTAGTTAAAGTTCTCTCTGACTTACATATTTTTCCTACACAGGACTGTATGGTCTGCTCCACCGCCCCCCTTCATCAGACCTCTGTTTAAGTGTCTTTTCAGAGTGGATTTCACTGATCCCCTTTCCATCCCATCCAAAATACCATCCTCCCCCGTGTCACTGTGTATTTGCCTACCTGCTTTCTTGCTCTGTTACCTTCATAGTACTTATTATCCCATGACACGCAATGTGTTTCTAAATTTGCCAGTTGTCTCTTTTCCTTCCAAAACCAGAACATAACCTCCAAAAGAGCAGAGATTTTGTCTGCTGGCCTCCCTCTGTAATCTTAGGACTTAGAACAGTGGCTGGCACAAACTGTAGGGGCTCAGACATTTTTGGATGAAAGAAAAAAATGTCTCTTCAATAAATTAATTAATCCTTAGAAAGCTAAAATCCAGCTTTATGCAATGGAAAGACTGATTCCTTTATTTGGATGTTTCTTTAAAATGACAGTGTAACTAAATGATTTTACATGACACACTGAAAGCCTCTGACAAGCTTTATATTAAATGAAAATGGCATGTGCTGACTGATTTCCAGAAATGTGCATAATTTCTGCTCCAGCCTCAGTTTCCTCTCTTCCTACATGGCCACATCCACTAGCACTTCACTATACCACAACTTCTACATTCTATGTATGGGGCCCAGGCTCTCTCCTACATTTGGTCCATCTAAGTACCTGCAGTGGTATCTCCACTTGGATAGCCTGCCACGATTTTTAAATTAAAATGCCTTCAAGTGAATTATCTAGCTTCTGTAGAAACTGACTTCTTTCCCTAATTATCCCATTTCTGTTAGTAAAACAGTCATTCTTCTCGCAGCACCTTTAGGAGGCAGATTTGATGAGTGTCTTTCCTCTGTCCTGCACATCAAATCTGTCATCACGTTCTGCAACTTCTTTCTTCAAAGTGTCTCTTTGATCCTCCCATTTCTTAGTCCATGGCCTATTTTTTTCACTCCATACCTTGCTCATGTTTTTATCCTTTCTTTACATTTATTTTCCCTCCTTCCCTCCCCAAAATCCAACTTATTTTGTGGCTCTTTACTAATAGTACCACTTTGAGTTTTTTTTTTTTCTTTGCTATCTGGTGACAATGTCACAGCTTGGCAATACCTCTTTAATTGTGTCATTATGCCAATTTTATTTTCTCAGCTAGATTGCATGGCTTAGAGAGGAAAAAATATTTTCATTAGTTTTCCTAGTACATAGCACAGTGGTTGACACATAGAAAACACGATTAAGGAAAACGTTTCCCTAAACTAATAGGAAAATACTATCACTAGACACTACAGAATTATCTACATTCAATTTGACAAGATTTATGAGATAACTGGTTATTTGCTTATTAGCAAGTAAAAAGTGAAACAAATGAAGCAATATGCATATAACCTTAAAACTCTTGCAAAGAAGCTACCAAGATGATTGAACAGTACTAAAGCTGGGTGACGGGTGATACAGGCTCATTATATTATTCTCTCTACTTGTGTGTGTTTGAATTTTTCTTTTCATAAAATGTTGAAGAAGGGGGAAGGGGTGCACTATAAACAAACCAGAAATACTCATATGAGTAAACCCGTATTAATACACTATATGGACTACAGAAAAAAGAAGGATCAACAGTGCTACTAGCATAAAAAATAAACTGTAGCACAAACACATTATGCAATATTCTCAATTATCTGAATCTTGCTCTTCAGTGGATGTCTACATACTCTAGGGACCAGGCATAGTTCTTACCACTCCTATAGTTACACAAATTTTTCTACTGAAACCAACAGTGGTTTTGAAAGTATTAGTAATGCTCCAATTTTTAATAATTCCATCTGTTTATAAAGTAAGAAATAGAACATTTTAGAATCAAAATCCCGAAAGTCTTATTATAATTTTTAATAAAAGAAAATAGCATGAATTCAAAACTTACAGTCTTAACATCATTTTCATGATGAAAGATATACTCAAACAAAGCCTATGAAGAAAAAAAAAACACCAAAAGTACATTAGATTTTATTTTTAACAAAAGCACTCTATTGTTATATCAAAATTCAAAGACCATTTTGACAGCAGCTGATTTGAACCAAAATAACAAGGTACTCTAAAAGTGCCTTTATAAGTAAAAGGTCTATCCATCATTTTTTACAATCACCATTTTAAAATACAGCGATTTATGCCAGATTCCTGTATTTATAGAATACAAACTAGAAAACTCAAATAACTAAACAGTGTTTTTGTATTATACATACTATTTTACTAGAAAGGGACAAATGAAAACATCAACTATGGGATTATCCTAAAACAGATTTAGCCCATTATTTTACACACTCTACGTATATATGATATTGATAATGACACTTTAGACACAGAAAATTTAGAAGTTTCTTCTAAAACAAAGTAGAGCTTAAGTGTAAAGTGGGATGTGTAAAGACTCTGATGTGCAACTAGGTCTGAGAACCATTATTTTAATACTTCTCTCAACTCATCTGAATAAATAAGCATCTACTAAATCCCCATTGGTGGTATCATGCTTGTCCATAGAGCCATTATTGTACACTTGCAAAGAGGCCAGCATTTCAAGATTATTACCAGAGAAAACTTAAGAGGCAACCAAAGAAAGAAAAAAGAAACTAGGACAAGGCCCTTCTTTTAGAAACTGCACCTAACTCTCCATTGGTTCTGTTATAAAGAAGAAAAGTCAAGATGCAGTTACCATTGCTGTGAAAAGGAGTTACCATAGACAACTCAAGCAATCATTATTCGAAATGAGTCCTGATGAGTAAAAGCGAATTGGAAACCAAAGACAGAAAAACCGGGCATTATTTCTACAACACGCTAAAAAAAAAAGCACAAAACCTAGTTCAGTTTAAATCTATGAACACACACACACAAAAAAATCTATGAACACATACTATATCTGTCCTGGAAGCATCTTAGTTTGAGGGAGATGCCTTCATGGACTGCACTCCCTAGATAGAAAACAGCAATGTGGGGGTGCCTGGGTGGTGCAGTTAAGTGACCAACTCTTGGTTTCAGCTCAGTCATGATCTCAGGATCATGAGATCGAGCCTCACATCAGGCTCCACATTGAGTGCCGAGTCTGCCTCTTCCTCTGTTCCTCACCCCTAAAGTTCTCTCTCTAAAATAAATAAATCTTTAAAAAAATAAAAAAAAAAAAAGAGAAAACACCAATGATACCAGATAAATGGCCTAAAAGGCAGGAGTTCCATATATTCCATAGGAGTTGCTGTGAATACTCTATTCTTATGAAGGTAAGGGAAATAAATGTAGCTTTATAATTCTGCTAAATGAAGTTGACCAGATTGCTGTTAAATAAGAAATTAAGAAAAAATGTCATCAGTGTTATTATAGGCTAATTCTCTATCAACTGACATTTCTTTCTCTGATTTTAATTTCAAGTCTGTATGGCTAGCATCCATTCATATATTCCCTAGTGTTTGACACTTAGTAAATAGGTAAAACGCCATTAGAACCAAGGTTCAGAATGAGCTCAGCTCATGTATAGAATTCAGAGATTACAGCTACAAACCTGGACTAGGCTTAGACCAGTTTTAGCAACAGCTAAATGCTCATGTTTCTGAATTATTCCAAGTTTAACTCCAAGTTTATCTATACATGGGACAGGTCATGGACCTCTCAGTCTCTCTCCCTTACCACACATATACACACTTATTTTCACTCTTTCTCTTTAATTTAAAGGAGCATATAATCTTTCTTTTAAGGTTTATTTATTTATTTTTAGTTTTATTTATTTATTCATGAGAGACACACACAGAGAGAGGCAGAGACACAGAGGGAGAAGCAGGCTCCATGCAGGGAGCCTGACATGGGACTCGATCCTGGGACTCCAGGAAAATGCCCTGGGCTAAAGGTGGCACTAAACTGCTGAGCCACCCGGGCTGCCCAAGATTTATTTATTTTTGAGAGAAAGAGAGAGAGAGTACATGAGTGGGAGGAGGGACAGAATCTTCAAGTGAACTCCCCACTGAGCACAGGGCCCAATGTAGGGCTAGATCTTATGACCCTGAGATCATGACCTGAACCAAAACTAAGAACTGGACACTTAAATGACTGAGCCACCCAGGTGCCAAGCACCTAGTCTTTGAGTAGTTAGAATTATTAATCTAATTCTCAATAAGGATCACTCAAGCCAGTAGGTGATATTGAGATGCCTGCCTAATTACTAATTAGAAGTACTTATTTTTTAATCTTCCTTTTGACAATCCTAAAATTCTACAAGAATAGAAAATTATTTTTCTGGGAACAATCCAAGATGAAAAAGGAAAACACATACTGATGCAGTGATGACCTTCTAAGCTTCTTTCCACAAAGATGATGCTGCATATCTGTTTTATTTGTTACAAAATGCTGTTCCTTTATCAACAGTAGCCAAACAATAGAGACAGCCTAAATGTCCACAGACTGATGAATGAATAAGAAAGATGTGGTATACATATATAATGGAATATTCCTCAGTCATCAGAAAGAATGAAATCTTGCCATTTGCAATGACATGGATGGAGCTACAGAGCATTATGCTATGTGAAACAAGTCAGTCAGAGAAAAACAAATACCATATGATCTCATATGTAGAATTTAAGAAAGAAAACAAATGAGCATATGGGAAGCGGGAAAGAAAAAAAGAGAAAGGGAAACAAATCATGAGACTCTTAATGATAAAGAACAATCTGAGGGTTGATGGAGGGAAGGGTGGTGGGGGATAGGCTAGATGGGTGATGGGGATTAAGGAGGGCACTGTTGGGATGAGAACTGGGTGTTGTATGTAAGCGATGAATCACTGAATTCTATTCCAGAAACCAATATTGCACTGTATGTTAACTAACTTGAATTTAAACTTTTTTTAAATTGCTGTTCTTTATTAGAGGAAAAACAATTTCCTAAAATAATGGTATATACACTTTATTTCTGACTGACTTTTTTTTTTTTTAATTTTTATTTATTTATGATAGTCACAGAGAGAGAGAGGCAGAGACACAGGCAGAGGGAGAAGCAGGCTCCATGCACCGGGAGCCCCGGGAGCCCGATGTGGGACTCGATCCCGGGTCCCCAGGATCGCGCCCTGGGCCAAAGGCAGGCGCCAAACCGCTGCGCCACCCAGGGATCCCTTCTGACTGACTTTTAAGAGGAATTTTATATAGTAAACATTTCCATTTCAATCAAGACACAGCCTTTCCTTCACAAGTTTTATCTATTTCCTAGAATGTTGTTATAATACATCTAACATGACTTCAAAACATAAAATCATTTTAAGTACATACCTTTGCCAATTTAGGTTTCTGAGCATATTTTGTTAAATTTAGTCTAGATAAATTTATAAAAGGTCCATCCGGAGTTGTAAGCATGGAAGCCTATGGGGGAAAAACACAGAACAAGAAATCAAAATCTGAAACTTCCTCTTGAAACATAAATTGAGTTAAATGAGCATAAAAATTACAAAGAAAACATAAGTAAAAAGAATCACCTGTAAAAAATCTTCCATATAACTTTCCACTATAACAAAGAGCAAAAAAATGATATCACATAAAGCTACTTTGCTAATACAAAACTATGGGAAGGCTGACAGAACTCACCGTTCCCAGCCTGACAAATCTTCCAGATGAGCTGGTGATAGGGCGAGCTGTGTAGGCAGTTCTGGGTGTTCTAATAGCCTGTTCCATAGTGCCAGGCCTTCCACTCTGTGTGCCAGGTCTAAGGAAACCTGTAATGGGTCTTCCAGCTTGAGTGATTGGCCTGTGGAAGGTGTACATTGTGATAATACAAAAAAAGATCGATAAAGGAAGATTCTCATACAGTCTGGTCAATATTTAATGACAAAAAGTATGAAACAGATGTAAATACCTGATAGCTGGACTAGGCCCTCCTGTCTGATTAGTTCCAGGGAGTTTCAAAGATGTTCCAGGGCCTGTGAAATGAGATGGCAAATTCAATTAATATGAGTTATTAATCTTTAAAAACTGTCAGCTAATGTAATTTTTAGGAATGTGCTGGCCTAGTGAAAAGAACATCAATAACAGGAATTGTATTTTATGGAAATGTGTTTGAGACAGATATTTATTGAATATCTATCATGTTATCTTATGTAATCACATGTAATCTTCACACGAAGTCTGTAAGGTAGGTAGTATTCACCCATTTAGCAAAGGCCTAAAGGGTTAGGTAAAGATGTCAACCTGTTAGTAGAGCTGAAGTTCAAACTCAAGGCTAGAAAGCTCCAAAGCACCAAAAGACAGTTCTATACTCATAGTTTATCCCTGCTACAATATCTAGAATTTAGATATTTTAACTCCAAAAGAGCAAAATGATGGGGAAAAAAGACATTTTTAACATGAACCATATTTATTGTTTTTCCTCAATTTCCATTTGAAGCTCTAAAAGTTATCTTTCAAAACATGTGACTGATAGCTGTTGTAACTATCAAATACAGCAAGACCACTGTATGTCATTATCATCACGAAATACCATTTGTGCCAGCACATCCAGAGGCCAGGGACTGGGCCTCTATTGCAATCCCGACAGGCCTTCACAGGCCGGCATATCACTCCATCACCTCACATCACACATTAGAGCAAATCACCTTCAATTAGTACAGTGAAGTGATGTTTTCCAATGATCATTTCTTTAAAAAATCCTTTTAGGGGATCCCTGGGTGGCGCAGTGGTTTAGCGCCTGCCTTTGGCCCAGGGCGCGATCCTGGAGACCCAGGATCGAATCCCACGTCGGGCTCCCGGTGCATGGAGCCTGCTTCTCCCTCTGCCCGTGTCTCTGCCTCTCTCTCTCTCTGTGTGACTATCATAAATAAATAAGAATTAAAAAAAATAAAATAAAAATAAAATAAAAAATCCTTTTAGAACACTTCTGTTTTTTGGATGCTTCCTGTGTTTTGACTCTCAGATAAACAATCTTCTGATATGTTTAGATAAGCGGTTCAGCTAGAATGCATTTTAAATATAAAACATTTTCAAATGTATAATATAGATTTTATTGAAATTGCTCTTATACAACAATCTCACATCTTAAGTTTAAGATAATATAATTGAATTGGGGAAGGAAAGTCTTTGTACTATATGGCAGGATAGAGACCATATACTCAATATAACATTTTTTCATGTATATAATGTTTTATGTTTATTTTATATACAAATAGTATTCTTCCTTCTAGTGGCATTTCATTGACTTAAGAGAAAAGCCAGTACTTACGTGGAACTTGAGCAATAGCATTTTCATCCAGCATCATTTCTGCAATTCCTTCCTGATTTACATCAATTTCATCTACGTATACCATTTCAGTTAGTGCTCGTGCCTTTAAAATCCAAGCTGCCTAGAAGCATGGATAAAATAAAGCACATATTAGGGAATATTAGAAGTACTGCCTATGGAAGGTTTATTATTGTCTAACTTTTTATTAGGCATGTTTAGTGCATTATTCTAATGTAAAGTGCTATGTCAAGAAACTAATACAGGAAGGCATGGTCATTACTAATCAAGGAACACCCATTTGATCAATTACTAGTAAATAAAAGTGTAGTAATCACCTGGCAGGCTTCTAACATGCCTTTTTATAAGTAAAAGAAGATCTCTAGAGAAAATTTCACTGGAATAATAATTGGAAACAATAAAGCTATGGCCACCATGCTCTTTCTGCCTTCCTCCTTCAGGACCAGAAGCCCATTATGAAGACTTCCCTGATGGTTTACCTCTAAACATACTTCTCTCTTGTCTTTCTCACAGAGTATTCTCTTTACACTTCTATTCTATGTACTCACCATATCCAAGAAACTCTGTAAGTATTGGGCATAGGTTAGCCCTCCCGTCCCCAGAACACAGGCCTTTTTACCTTGTTCAGTTCTGAATTTTCCATAACACCTATGGCTTTGGCACACATTAGGTATTCCAAAAATGTTGAATTGAACTAAGATCAGTTTCTCCCAATTCCCAATAACTAATCAACACAATCTTGGTTGCTCTGTGATCTAGCCAGTAGAGAACCTGCTAAAAAGTGTGGGGGGTGGGGGTGGGGATGGAAGAGGTAATTAAGGAATCCAGAAAATATCAGCTTTGCTTTACCTTGAGAAATTAGACATCAAGGTGAGCACAGTTAAAAATCTTGTTAAACATTCAAAATGGCTTTATCAGAAATGTTTATGTTTCTGCTTCACTACAGAATAGAAGCAGAGAACAATAAAGCTTGGTGTCCTGTGGAGGATTTGGGGAGAAGGCAACTCTTGAGCAGCAGCATAGAACTGACTTTGTTCCTCACAGAACAGAGGAAGTAGCAGCTAGGGAAACCTGTTGGGGGCTGGGGGGTGCAGGTAGGGCTCACCATACTAGGGATCTGGCTGTGAAGCAGGCTGAAGGAAGGCAAAGGGACTGAGAAAGGAACAGATGAGAGCTACAGAGGTCCAAAAAGTCCTCACGTAAAGAACCCAAGATGCATTCACTCAGTCAGTCATATCTATTGAGCACCTCCTAGTTACATGGCACTGGGCTAGGTTCTGAAAAGGAAACATGAGAAGATTAAAACTTGGATCCTAATTTCCCTGAACACATCACCTATTGAATTAAATGACAAGGCAAAGTAGTGCATGATAGGTGACAGGTGAGTGGTACAGAAAATAGTTTTATAGGAATTAAAACTATCCTTTTGTGGGCTAAAATACTGGAGTGCATATATAAGACAAAAAATTAAAGGCAAATAGAAAAATATTTGTGCTTTCACTTTTATGGGAAATAAAGAAGGCTGCCTTCATAGCATACTTAGGTTCCCAAAATGAAATTATATTTGGTTAGATGACTGGGGTTTTTAGCTTTTATTTTCCAGGTAAGAATTACCAGATTCTCATCAGATAACATAATAAAATGTTTCAACTGTGTGGATTTAACACAACTGAATGAGCAGAACACATAATCAAAGAATTAATTTGTTTAAAAAAAATCAATTCCAATTGGAACTGCATCTAACTGTGGGAGCCACTAAAGTGTGGAAACAATTGGAGGTTTTCAATCATCAAAGATCAGGGAGGCTGGCAGATCTATACAAGTATGCTAAAGGGCCAGGGAAGTCATCCCTGGCTTGAACTAATGGTTTAATGTAACTTTAAAGATGGAGATAAGTAATCCCGATTTATCTTGAGTCCCCACAGCTCTTACTGCCCTTCAAGGATCTGATGGCTTTCATTTCTCGAAAGGGTGTTCCTTGTTCAGCAGTCTGGTGGACAGGAGAGACTGCAGTAATTTCTTTGAAACAGTAAAGCAGGATATGGGCTCTGCGGGGTCACTCCCATATTACCAGAGAGTACCTACTACATGTAGGTCCTGGGAATAGAGATGAGCAAGCCACAGCTCTTCTAGCTCACACAAATTTCAGTGTTGTTAGGAAAAGCACAAAAATAAAAGCCTGGAGCATGCTATGGGAAGACAGAGGCACCCAGCTGTCTGGAGGTGAAGGAAGGGTAGAAGTGGCCAAGACTAGAAAGCGTGTGGTAGGCAAAGCAAATGAGAGGAGGGCAGGCTAGCTTGAAGGCTCATGGCATGTTTGGCAAATCCAATCAAAACAGTTGAGTATGGTTGAATTGAGTTCAGCTGAGGCATCAGTAAGAGAAGAATGCTGGAGAAAAACCAAAGAGCCGGGACCCCTGGGGGGTTCAGTCGGTTAGGTGTCTGCCTTTGGCTCAGGTCATGATCCTGGAGTCTGGGGACAGAGCCCTGCATCAGGGTCCCTGCTTGGCAGGGAAGACTGCTTCTCCCTCTGTTCCTCACCTGCTCGTGCTCACTCTCTCTCAAATAAATAAATGAAATCTTAAGAAAAAAGCAAAGGACTAATGAAGGACCCTCTTTGCCAGAGTGAAGTATATGGACTTTTACCCTGATGAGGAGGAGCTAACGAAGCTTCAAAACTATGACTAGTCCTAGTTAAATCAACTTTCTAAAAGCCAAGTTTTTCTATTACATTTATATAGTTGGGCATTAATTATCCCTGCACATGTCTTTTTAACAATTTGCATGTACCTACTGTTATAGTCCACTCCATCATGCTTCCTGACATCCATCTGCCAACTAACCTCTCAAATATTAAGAACGTGCAACTGTAATAGTAGGCTAAACAAAAGTAAATCCGCTGTTCCCTCCCCCATCAAATGAATAAATGCTTCACACTGTTTTAAAAATGTTATTCCATAAGAATTCACTTTTTCAAAATGGTAAATAGGTCTATATTTATTTCCATTTCTAGAATCTAAGTCTTGAGAAGTAGAAATAATGGTGGGAAGATAAAATCTACTCAAACCATTATTTAATTTTAAATTTCATCAGTATTTGAGAATATTAATCTTCCTGATTTTCCTTCAGTCCTAACAAAAATGACCTTGAAAATCACATATCACTGCTTGATTAAACATCAGATTGTATTCAAAGAACTGCTCTTGGCAATGTGAACAATTCTTAGGATTTTAATGAAAACAGCAGATGGGGCTTTGGCTTTTTAAAAAAAATTAAAAATTTTATTTTGGAAACAAGCCAAGTATGTTTTACAGCCCTAAAATCCTGTTTAAATAAAAAAAAAAAAAGGTTCAAAACTAATCAGTGATTAAAGTAAAATGCATAACAAAGCACAGTGGATGATGCCAAACTGCCCCCTAAATCTGAATAAAAATTAAAATATAAATTGGTGTAATCAGATATGTTTAAGTTGTTACTAAATGACATGGTCATGCTGTAAATACATTTGAACATCTATCCATTGGAAGTACTGTGAAATCAACAAAAATCATAGAAGTGTAGGAACTTTTCTAAAGGGAAACAAACCCATAGATTCTCTCAATCTAAGTAATCATCATGTCAATTATTTCCTTCTTTATCTTTGAGACATAATCCTATCTCATTCACCTACTAAGGCAGTCTACAAGACATTATTCTTGAGGCAATAATATCAAGAAAATAATACTTTCCTTGTACTACTACCTTCTGTGAGGTTGATCCAATTTTAGTTATGAAAAAAAACATACAGAAAGGTAAAAACTCTAGTGACTGAGCAAAACATGTTTAAATTGTCGTATTCATTTGAGGCCAATGGTTTAAGACATAAAAGAAACAATTTTGCTAGGTTATTATTAGAATAAGGCCACCAAAGAACAGTGTGTCATTTGACACTGCCTGCTGTATGAAAATGAAAAGTTAGGAACAAAATATTGAATTGTTATTGTAAAGCCTCATTTATTTTGAAGTTGTAAAAATGTGCAAAAGAGGAAGGCAAAATGTCTGAATAATGAGTCCAAAAGAATCCTGTCAGACTTGTTCCCTTTTTATTCTTTTAGATCACTATCCAGTGGATAATTCAGTCTACAGTAACAGAACAGGAAAGTAATACTAAATACAGGTCCTTCATGAAGTCCCGGAGCTGGCTGGAAACTTTCAAATGCCATTTACAATGTTTAAAGCCTATCAACAATGCAAATTATTGGTGTTTTAATTTTAACAAAATCTTTCAAAATTAGTGAAAACAAAAAGCACATTACTTAACTCTATTTATAATTTAGGTCCTTCTCAAACAAACTGTACATATATTATACAAAAAAGTTTTGTACCATCTCTCAATATGGAAATCATGATTATGAACCCTGCAGACAGGTTTCTTTAAAATCCTTCTAAAGAAGAGTGCTACATTTTAAACTATTTCCAGTGCTTGTTTAATACCACGCAGACCTCTATCAGAGTACTTTGTATCTTGCTTTCTTCTAAAAAGGTTGGATGATTACTCATATGAACCACATATGAGGTTCCAATTATTTACCTAAAAACCACTGTTAGAATTCTCTCTTATGTGGCAGGGCAAACACCTAGCAGTATTTAAGCTCTCTGATTTATAGCATTTTCATCCCTTGTCCTTATTCCCAGACTTACTGGAAACCCTCTTGAGTTAAAAGCTTCACTGGCTGGTGTATCCCCCCAACCACACCTCCTCTCCTTAGGCTCCTTCCAGAGTCGGTGTGTCTTATCCAGTTAGCAGGTCTCTCTGGCTGCCTCCCATCTCTAGCCACGATGATTTTTTGGTTGTGGCTATCTGGTCAATGTCCCTTCCTTTCTTCCTCGCGACGGCAGGTACCACCCTCTCACCAAGCCCTTTCTGAGCAGAGTCGGCCTACTCTTTACTCAACACATACTGTTCTACCCATCACAGTCTTTTTGGACACTTGGGGCTCTGCTGACTTCTCAATTCCCTTTCTACACTCCTGGTCCCTTGCCTCCTTCTCTTTTTCTCTCATCCTCTGGTCAATATCTATTTAAGTTCCAAGTCTTAAGACTACAAAGACATGGGATGCCTGG